TTGACCATCCTGCGTCTGCCACGTCCTCTGCCATCTCCGCCTCAATGTCGGGTGCCCTTTGTGCAGGGCTTGCATGTCCGCAGGGTGACAGTGTTTATCCTGCTGCCAGTGAAGGGAAGTGGAAAATAAAGGCTGGGGGGAACCTGATTGGATCCACCGGCACCCTGGGTGTGATCCTCAGTGCGAGTAGCTGGCAGTTTTTCAGAGGTGTTTAACTGGTATCCAAGCGTAACGAGAGGGAAAAGCTGGTAAAACGCAGCTGCAGGCCCACAGAAGTCAGCTAAGGACGCAGCGCCGGCGTTTTGTGTCTGGGCCTGTAGTTTGAAACTCAAAACAAGCAAAAAAGTGTGGATCAGAACCCTGGGCGATTAACTAACGAACCGATAGCGACCTGTTAGGCTTTACGCTCAAACCTAGCAGGGGTTTCAGTCCCTGGATGGCCAGTGTCTCTGCCTCTGGGTGGGCTGTTTCTGGGCAGGAGTTGCTTGTGCAGGCTGCTTTGGCGACGGGACAGCGGGTGCTGCTGGAGCTGTGCCAGCAGGAGACTCGCTTCGGGTGACACTGTTCTTGTGATGCAGGGGGAAGCACGGGGCGTCGCGTGTCTTCGGGTGCCCAGGTGCTGCTCTGCACACCCCAGCAGCTGTGTGGGCTGCACCTTTCGGTACCCCCCGAGCCACGGGAGATGTCCGGCTCCTCACCAGCGGTGCCTGCGCCGGGCTTCCGAATGCAGCTCCCGGGGTTCCAGCCACGCAAGGGTTGCTGAGCCTGTGCTACCTTCTGCTGCCCGCCCCAGCCGGGGGCTGCTGAGCAGCTGGGAGAGGGTCGGCTGCTCCCCGCGCTCCATCCTGGTTTGCCTGCCGGCACCACTGTGTCGCTGTCGCAGCCCTTCCCGGGAAGCCCGTGGGTTAGGTAGCGAGGGCTCGTGCCACGTGTGCGGTGAGCGCTGACCCGTAGCCTGAACAGCGTTCCTGTACGTCACGGAGGAGAGGGTGGGCGTGATCCAGCAGGTTTATGAGCCGTAGGTTGTGCTGATGCAGCTGCTTGTGCCAGGGGTGTCGGAAAAATGCCCGCTCTAACCGGAAGTGGCCTCGTGAGCGTTTCCTGGCAGTGGCACCTGTCAGGTCACTGCGCCGGTGCCTTTAAAGTTGGGCCTGGCGTGGGTCTGACCAACCCCCGCAGATGTAACTCCTGGTGCAGGTAGGAGTGACCTGTCAGCCTCTCGAGGAAGAACAGCCTGGGCTGCGGATGTTGCCACCTCCAAGCCCCGGGTTGGGCTGTTTCCTAACAACTTGCTGACTTGACGCACGTCAAATGGCGTGGGGGGTGGTCCTTCCCGAGGCAGCGTTTTGGAAAAGGTGTCAGCTTCGGTCTTTACGCTCATGCTTGCAGGGAAGGAGAGGGGAGAATTGTGGGGATTTGTAGGGAAGGTGGTTCTCATTGTTTAGGGAGGTGAAAAACCCCTGAGTTTCTGCTGCAAAACGCATCACGTGGTCTTGCGTGAGGCTGGGCCGAAGCCCGAGGCACGTGCGAGCAAGGCAGCGTAATGGAACCTGCTTTCCTGTTGGCACTAGGAATGTGTCGGCCTTAGACTGGAGTTATTGGGGGAATGCACACATGTGTGGGAGATGAGCCCTGTGGATGTCAGCATCCAACTGGCATTCCTTCTTCCAGGCCACCTGTGTGACAGGCAAGGTGATAGTTAAAAGTTGTTGGCTTGTACTGTAGTAAATTTAGGTTTGTGGTGGCTGGAACGTGGAGGATTTTACAAACGGAGCCACAGCCAGGTGCTGTGGAGTAAGGCAAGAAGTAGGACAGCAGAGGGGTGGAGAGTCTTTGGTGAGGTCTTGATGCTTCCAGGCAAGGACGAATCTGTAAATCCCGTGGAAGGATGAGCCGACCGCAGCTGGGAGAGATGCAGCCCTCCCGGAGGAGCCGCTGGGCCACGTAGCGCCTCGCCCCTGGCTGAGCACGCTCGGGTCTGCGCTGTGTTTGCGGCCGGGGCCTGGCTGATGGCTCCGCGTCAGTGAAAAGTGTGGTGTCGATTCTCCCACAGCGCTTCAGGATTCCCTTTCAGAGGTTTGAAAAGGCTGAGAGCTGCGTTACACAATTCCGAGCGGCTCTCCAAATGTTACCCTCGAGTCCGAGGCGCGAGCTAGCAGCGTGTGGAAGTGCCGGCGGCAAAGTGAGCTCCAGCGTTAGTAAAAATCCCACCGCTGAAAAATGCGCTGTGCCACGTTAGTGTGGAAGGTGTCGTCCTTCAGGGATGAGAAGGAGGCAGGAAAGCCTGGAGGGCGGCGTGCTGACCTCGCTGTGCTCGGCCCACGAGCTACCCAACCCTCTAACTCTTAGAGTGCCTTGCCCGTGGGTTAAAGAGGGCAGCGTGACTTTCCCAAGCAGCAGACTGTTGTCGGTTGTAGTGGCAGTTTGAAACCGTCAGAGCAGCGTCTCGGGCGCCAGCTGTGAGTAGTTCCGCAGTCCCAGTCCACGCGTCCGAGAGACGCTGCGGTACAGCCAAAGGTGTAAATAGGGCGAAGGGCCGGCTCTTCACGAGGGACCCCCGGATGGGTCATCGCATGCCCCCGTGCGTTCTCCCGGGTGACTTCGTTCCCGTAGGCAGAGAGGCCCATTCCGCGTGGAGGTACGCCGTGGCGGCGTGGTCTGGGGAAGCAGGTTGGGGTGTTGTTTCGGTAGTGTCGCGTCAGATTGATGCGAGTGTTCTGATTGCAGACGATGAAGAGCGAGACCTGCAGAACGACCTGGTTGATTACGGCAAGCCCCGCTTCAGCGATGGCGTCCTCTAAGGCCTGACCTGAGCAGGAAGCGCGGGTGAGATCTCCCCTGGGAACCTGCAGTGCTGCAAAACCGGAGCGTGTCTGCTTCAGCGCCTCTCCCTGCAGAGGAAGCGGGTGATCCCGAGCGAGGAGTGTGCTGGAGGTCAGCGGAGTCCCCGAAGGCGGCGGTTCTGTACATATGTGCATAGCTGTACTACTGCAGATTGTATGAAAACTACACTTTTGTTGTTACCTTGAGCCAATCACTTAGACTGTACCTTATCTGTAATAATCTACATTTAAAACTGAGACTATAAATACGGGCTGCATTGTTTCTGCCACTTAGGAAAGCTTTGTAAACTGGAGAACTTGTACAGTTTGTACCTCACGTAACAAACGCCGTGGAAGCACGGTACAGCCCAAGGACTCCTCTCCGGCAGCAGCACCCACCAGCACCGCTCTGTCCGGAGCGCCGGCTGCTTGGATCTCGCAGGTGAGCTGTCGGCGGAGAACCAGAACTGAACGCTTCAGAAAACTGCTCCCTCCGTCAGGTAAGCGAGGCGGGGCCGCGGCCGTCCTCGGGAGCCAGAACCCTTCAGTTCTTGCGTGCAGCTGCCAGGTCGCGGAGCTGGGGCTGGGCGGTGTCGGTGCTGACGGTCTGGTGCATCCCGGGAAAGCTGTGTAACCCACAGCCTATTTCGGGAGGCAGGGGAGGGAGCGCGGCACAGTCTGTAGGAAATCCTGTGTGAGCGAGCGCTGGAGACATCCGCAGCCGCTCTGGAGGGGTTTTTTCTGGAGGGGCCTCAGCGGAAGGAGCAGCCCTCGGTGAGCACCCTGTGCGCGCTCAGCGCCCTCGGTGAGCACCCTGTGCACAGTCGGTGCCCTCGGTGAGCGCCCTGTGCACAGTCGGCGCCTCGGAGCGTCCGTCCCGTGTCGCAGCCGCGCGGTGGTTTGTGGTTCAGCACTTCGGCGCAGGTGTCTCGACTTCTCCATCCTCCACCTTCTGTTTTCTGTACGGGGAGGTTTGTGCGGCTGACACCTTTGGTGTTCTGTGTTTAAGCACTTTCTGGATTGTATGGAAACGGTTCTGTTGATCCACAGTAGTGACAGTTCTGGTTGTTAACCCACCCTGCGTCTCCAGAGGGCTGCTGTGAGGAGCTCTGGGGCCTCCGACGCGGGCGACTGCGTTCTCTGTGCTCGGGTTCCAGTTTGAAGGACCAGCTGGGCCGTGCTCGATGCAGGTCCAGGGAACCTTCTGGATACAGTTCAGTGGCTGCGTGGTTTGCTGGGTGTTGGGTTTTTTTGGCTACAGGGATCTTGTACCAATCGGTTCTAAACACAAGGAATAACCATTTCGTGTTCTGGCCACACATCCCCAGTTTCTCCTGTTCGAGGCTCGTGCTCTCCATCCCGTACGCCCGGGAGGCTGACGGGGGAGTAGCCCTTTCCACGGAGCGATGTGTGTTTGGTTGACAGTAGAAGGCTGATCCTGCTCCGAATTAGACGCCGTACTAATACCAGACAGTGTGAACTGTACCAGGATGCCAAGAATTAAAACTGTATTTAAGGACCACAATTTCGGGGAGTTTGTCTTAAGATGTAATTTCACCCTGAGTTAGGTGTTAACTTGATTCTTCTAATGACAGCAACATTTATGGGTTCTAATAAATTGTTTGAAGTATTTGAGGCTTCTGGCTTTTCCTTTTGACTTGTTAAAAGTGGCCTAAGGGGGGTTTTCTCGTGCCCCAGCGGTGTCACACAGGCCAGCTCCCGGGGCAGGGACGGAGGAGCGGGCGGTGCTGCACGGCTCTGGCATCCCGTAGCACCTGTGTATGGCACAGGCGCTCGGTGTGTGTCGGACAGTCCCATGTTGGGATGCTTCCAACCCACCTTCATCCACCCGGCCTTCGCTGCCTT